TATTCTGCAGTGAAGTATGATATCTCTTTGATGAAAAATCGCAGTTTGTTTCCATTCCTCCATTCGTTGCGTGTACATTCTTGCCACTTAAGATGGCCGACAGGAAGCCTCGCCTACCCCGTTGATTACATCCGTGCAACAGCTCTATTGGCTTAACCAGATTTCGATAAAAGCTGAGAGAGAGAGAGAGAGAGAGAGAGAGAGAGAGAGAGAGAGAGAGAGAGAGAGAGAACAAAATTAAAATTATCTCCTTGAATCGTGAGAATTTATGTCATCGTAATCTTTGGTCACTTCCTGGAATAAACTCTCTGGTACTTCTTCTCTTCCTTTCCCTGTTGCTTGTTCTCACTGGAGTGTCTGCCACCATCTTTGAGGAATGCAATTAGTGAATGAGCCACGCCCTTATCCAGCCCCACCCTAACCTTTCTGCAAACTAAAAGTAAACAATGGCGACGAAGAGCAGCAACTGTTCCTCTCCTCCTTCTCTCTTCTCTTCTCCTTTGACTATTGGTAGGTAATATCCATTATAAGTACTAGATCTATAAAAATGATTATTTAGAGCAACTTATTGGTGTACTTCATCTGTTGAAGAGATGTGGTTTCCCTCAGACTAGATGGCATGAGCTGGGACTGACACTAGGACTACACAAGAGTACACTGGACGCCATTGAAAGAAATCATCCTGGTGATGTATCTGGATGCTTGACAGAGTGTCTCTCCCAGTGGTTGTCCAGAGCTGATAATGTTGACGGTAAAGGAGGTGCTACCTTTGACTCACTGTCAGATGCTCTTAAATCAATGAATGAGAATGCTGCAGCTGACAAGTTAGATCAAGAGAGTAAGTCAATATCACTGATTGTATTAGTACTGACTGTGTGTGTGTATTCTATAGAATGTAATGCTATGATCAGTGGTAGTGATATCCAGGGGCGTAGCCAGGGGGGGCAAGGGGGGCAATTGCCCCCCCTTTTTTAAACTCAAAATTTAAAAATAATCAAATAATAAGCTACTTTTGGAAGGAAAAGCTGTTCTACAACTTACATATGAAAGGAAAAGGCCAAAGCAGTCTTTCTATGATGCCATTATAAGGCTGAAAAGGTATTCAACGTTGCCTATGATCGGTCAAGAAGTCCGCCATGTTGAAAAATGGGTGTGGTCACGCCCCCAAAAGGGCGTGGTTCCGCAAAATTTTGCAGCGCGCTTCGCACGCCGCACAGCTGCCCCCCCTTTCCAAAAATCCTGGCTACGCCACTGATATCAAAGGAACCAATGATGTACACATACACAGTACTGCTACTAGTGAGTGTTACATTACTGGACTAAAGTATTATTACTGTTACAATGATTGATTATGTATTAAGAATCAATCATGATTCATGGATTAGTATACCAAATACGGATACAATAAATAATTTTAAATAAATTAATTTGGGCGAGCCTGAGCTCGCCCCACGTCACTCTAGCAGTACTCTCAGTCACACCCCGTCCCTCTGTCTGTCTGTCCTCGTACGTCACCCCTATTTATGCCATAGATTGTATTACTTAGTAATACAATCATAGATTGTATTACTTAGTAATACAATCATAGATTGTATTACTTAGTAATACAATCTATGTTTATGCATAGATCTAATACGGTAGATACTATGCATTACCAATACAATATAAAGTCAATTTTAAATTTTTCATTGAAAGTGGGAGCGGTCACAGTAAAATAAAAATGGTGACCAACACACTGGAAGAAATCATGAGCTTTCTAGCAGCAATATACATAGGCGACTATAGGCCCGGGCAAGCCAGGGCTTTGCCCTAGTAGTTTTCAACCAAAACCACACCCAAAAGGTGTGTTTTGTTATTATTAGGAGTGATATTATAGCCACAACTGTTTATACTTGCTATCAGCTCCACTTTACAGTTATTTTAGTGTGGTAACTGGCTTTTGTGAGCTATCATACAGTGAAACCTGTCCTGAAGGTCATCTGAATAATGAGGCCACCTCTCTATTACAGCCATAAGCCAAAATCCCGTACTAAATGGCTGTATTACAGAGGCTGATCTGTAATGCAGCCACCTGCATAATCAGGCCATTTAAAACTGGCCCAAGGGTGACCGGATTAAGCAGGTTTCACTGTAATGACTTTCAGTCATTTTATTAATTGACCACACCCCTAATTCTTATGAATAATTAATGAGCCCTGGTTAATTCAAGATTCTGTAGCCGCCTATGGCAATATAAGGCAGATACACCATCCAAAGACTTCTCCAGCAGTAATAGAAGGTTTTAAATTTAATTAATAACCTATGAAGCTCGTTTTTAATGATGCAATTGCTATAAAAACTGTGAAAGTCAATAAAGCTTCTTCTCAGTCATCTTAACATTGGATACTAGTTATATCTAAAGCTAAGTAAAGCATCTTTACAGACAATTATAGGCAAGAAGTGTGTATGTTAAACTAGAAGACTAAAAGTTAAATAAAATAAATGTTATAAAGTGATTTTATCAGCAGCATTAAACTTTTATCATGTAAATCATGCATGCTTTGAAGTCATCATAGTGGGGAGTCAAGATTACAGATGAATAGATCCAGTGCCATATAATTGTTTTGCTAGCTTAGGCTCGCCCCTTAATGTTCTACATTCGTCTAGTTATTCTATTCTTATGGGAAATCATGAATCTTAATTTAATGGGGCGAGCCTGAGCTCGCCCCACTAAGGCAAGAAAGCATCTGCTTGTACAGGCATGATACTGATAGGGTCATCTAACTATTATTAAAGTTAAATAGCCTAATCTTCATTGAAAGCAGGTGTGGTCACAATGAATAAATGGCGGCTATCAGCAAGTCTGAGCTTATTTGCAGCAAACAGTCAGCAAGATAAGACTAAACTGCCGTCCAAAGACTTCCCTAGCAAAAAGAAAGGTTAGAAAAGCATATATAGATTTTTTTTCTTGATATAAAGGACTTTGATGAGTTGAATGCAAGCCTGAGAAAGCTGCATGTAGCCTTGGCTAGGCTGCATCATGAGATTTATTCTAGCCTTCTAGGTGATACTTCTAAGTTCTCTACTATGTTAGCAAAGCAGATGTAAAATCTTCTTCAAATATGATTTGTTCAGTGACTGCTTTAAACCATAAGCAATTAAGATAACTCAGTTTAATTGCTGCAGAAATTGCTTTGCTTGCTCATACATGTAGATCATACAGCACATAATCTACAGCTTGCATAGGCTCGCCCCTTTAATGTTCTACATTGTTCTAGTTTTGGAAGTATTTTATTTTTCATCAACAATAGGAGCAGCTCCTCCTACTGGTACAAACAAGCCATTGATAGGAGGTCCTCCACTCTCTCCTATTGCATTAATGGATGTACCAGATGGTGGACCAAAAGTATCTGAATTGATAGAGTTTCATGAGTTATTAATCAAAGGACAACTGGAGGAGTCTCTACCACTGCTTGATGCTGATACTATAAGAAAGATTAGAAATGCCGCTAGTGCTGATGAAGGAATGTCTCTTCTTAGAAAAGCATTCGAAGAACATCCAGCACTGTTACATGAAATGAGAGTAGCTACTGGAAAAAAAAAAGGTATAAATGTTTCAAAAAATGCATTAAAATTAGCTAACATAATCTGCAAGCATGTCAGTTTTTATTAAATTACTATTAATAGGTTCATCACAAAAGATGCTAAAGTCTCCTCCCCCAGTAGCACCTAAACCAAGATCATTATCACAAAGTGGACAACCTCATTCACCTCTACCATTGTCAACAACAAAAAAACCACGACCACTTTCACAAGCCACACAACCTCCACCAACAGCACCTAAACCACGTCGACAATCACTAACTGCACAACCTCCTCCAAAAGCACCTAAACCACACCGACCATCAATAACGGAACAACCTTCACGAAAAGCACAACTTCCAACAACTATACCTAAACCAAGTCGATCTCAAGATTCATCATCAGCTCCACATTATCCAACAGCAACAGTACTGCAAGATAAGGAGGGGAAGAAAGATCCATCATTTAAACCAATAGAAGGATCAATGCCACCAGAATACATTACAATGAAAGAGATGTTAGCTGATCTTGTTGATCTGTTTGCAGGAAATGCTCCAGTTATTTCACAATTAAATAATCATCTCTTTTCATCTGATCTCATTCCTAAAGCAGTATATTATGTTACTGTTGGAAGTACTGGACTCAGTCCTTATGATAGAGCTAATAAAATATTCTCTTCAGTACTAGCAACACTTGAGTGTCATGCTAATCCTAACAGTGTGTTCTCTTCTCTCATTACTTCACTAGAGAAAGTAGGACTAAAGAACATGGCATCAAAACTAATGGAAAATTTAAGTAAGATACATATCCCATTTATTTATTTATTTTTAATTTATAATAGGAATGAAAGGTGGTCATGTTGATCCTAAACTAAAGCAGCAACCATCAGTCAGTAAGGGACCACTTCAACTAGTGGATGTCACTGCACAATCTCACACGCCACAACCAACAATCACTGGATCACAATCATCTACTCCTACTACTGTCATTGAGCTCAGTTCAAAGAGTGAAGTTGCTGCCAATATTAAAAGTCTTCATTCTCGTTTTGCATCTCTCAATGTTAAAATGAGAGGTCAAATTTTGAAAATTGTACAAAAAGGTGAAGCTGAACTCATAGATATAGCTAGGAGTGCAGCAGCTTATTTAAGCATTGAAGTATCCAGTTTAAGATATGGCAATGTTGATGAATTATTTGATTCTCTTAAGCCTCATTATGATTTCTTTAATTGTGATGGTGTACTTAAACACTTGACAGACACTTATCTTTCAACTGCAAAAACTGAACTAACTCAATACATTGATAGTGTTGATAAATTCTCAGAATCATCACAATTGAAGCACATACGATCAACAATCAAAGAGAAATTGTCATCATTACCAGCAGCAGCTTCACCAACCACTAACCAAACAAAACTGGTCGTTATTCAGCTAAGCGACAGATGGAATGAAATGACTCTAACTAAATTTAAAAGAGTCCTTCAGTATTACTTTGGGCATAAAGTAGCAGATATTTCTACTATAGTGGACATTGATTTTGGTTCAGTTGTCATTACACTGTCAATACCAACCTCACTATCACAGTCTCTTATTGATGCTATCAATAACAAAACAAACTCAATGAGTAGATTAGGAATATTGGAAGTTGCTGTTGACAATAAAGTGATTCCTATCAGAAGAGAAGATGATAAAAAATTTGACGTTTCACTCCACGAATCAGTTAAAGCTGGTGACAGTTTTGAAGTATTAATGCTACTTCAGTTAGGAGCTGATCCTAATAGTAAAGTTGAGAGAGGAAAGAGTGCAGTAGAGATAGCTAAGCAAGGAGGACACACTCAAATAAAAGAAATACTATTAACTGGTGGAGGTGAGTTATTTGATACTAATATTAATACACACACATAATATACCATTAATACAGTAAACCCTCTATTAACAAGCACTCTCTATAGTGCACACCTCCTAATGGACAGCACCTAGGGTACCAATTACATTCCTTACTGTATAAAATAACCTTCACATGAAGGACACCTCTGTATAACAGAGACACTTTCATATCCCATTTTAGAAGTACCAGTGATTGAGTTTGACAATAAAACTTTATAAAAAAGAGTCATAAAACACAATGAAAACTACCAAAAATCATTGTCAGTATGATTGTAAGTTATTATATACATAGGCGGCTGCAGAATTTTGAATTTACCCAGGCTCATTAATTATTCATAACAATTGGGGGTGTGGTCAATTAATTAAATGACTGAAAGTTACTAACACAAGCCAGTTACCACACTAAAATAACTAAAGATGAACTGATACTGTGTATAAACAGTTGTGGTGATAAAAAAATGAATATCTCACTGCTAATAATAACAAAACACACCTTTTGGGTGTGGTTTTGATTAAAAGCTACCCAGGCATAGCCTGTGCTTGCCTGGGTCTGCAGCCGCCTATGATTATATAGAATCTTCTACTCTAAGAAAAGAGAAAGAATGGAAAGAGAGAAATACAATTTAAATGCAAAAATTCAAAACAGATAATTACCAGATACATGTATATGGTATATGCTTACATTAGCTTGTGCTTTGAAGTGATATAGCTGGCATAAAGGATCAAGGACTATAAAGAGAGAGAGAAAAAGAGAGAGAGATGGAGGGACAATAATTATTGATTCCAACATATTAATAAAAATAATGTACAATTGATTTTTGTTTACTGTCATATCCATGATAAAAGATAAACCACACCCATTCCATCCTAGCAGCTGTAATGACTTACTGGTACAAAAAACCAGCATCACCTGGAACAATTAACCCACAAACAAGCATCATCAATAAAATAATATAATATAATTATTATTATTTATATTATATACCTATTATACTGTGTTAAAATAATATAATACACACATTAACTGACTGACTGTGTTTATTATTAGGAGAAGAGACTGGAGAGGTGGAATGGACCAGTTTTGAAGTAACCCTCATTAAACCATCAGCAGGTCAATGTCAGGAAGTGATCAGTCAATTAACGGACAGTCATCAGTACATTTACCTCAATCTCTCATCACCTGATATTGTATACATATTGATGTCACTAGTACTAGACATAAGAACAATAAAGTGGATTGGTATGCATAACACTAAAATAACAAAAGATGTCATCCTCTTACTGTCACACAAAATAACAAACAATACTTCATTAGGGATACTATTGATCAGTAATGATTCCATCAATGATAAAGGAGTCATTGCACTAACACAATCACTAATTAATAATAAAACAATTGCTGGCTTATTTCTTAGTTACAATACTGACATCACTTCAACCAGTGCTCAGTCACTAGCTGAACTTTTACTCTACAACCACACACTATCTGCCCTTCATCTCAACCATACTAACATTGATACTGATGGAGCACTGAAACTGATGGAATCTCTCAGGACCAATGATACACTAAGGGAATTAGCTCTAGATAAGAAACATAAACAAACTAGATATTCTTTACCTTATTATAAAACTATTGAAAACAGATTACTCTTTGTGTAATTATTTCATATACATATTAGATTATTAATAAATAATTTATATTACTAAATGAAAAAAAATTTTATTGACATGTACATGTATAACATATGCTCAGAGAGGGAGGGAGAGAGAGAGAGAGACATTTTGTTCATCAAAATTCATCATGTGCATAAATCAAGTGTCAGGATTTATTCTGTCAAAAATTTGCCTCTAAAACTACTACATATAGTCTAGCTACATGGTACATGTATGTCATAGGCGGCTGCAGGGGCAGGCATTGAGGGCAATGCCCTACTAGAATTTCTTACCGGAAGATGACATCATCATAATTAGCAGTTAATTAATAATTATTTAGTAGTTATTACATGAAATATAGCTATTTTAATGACAAAAACTACATTATTTTGCTCAACAAAGTGATAATTAGTAGAGAATAAGCTGCTAACTGCATGGTTTATTCACAGGAAGCCAGCCAGCCACTTCATAGGTCCATATCTATGGCCACTTCAGGAAGGCATAATCTACAGTAACCTGCAGCTAGAGTAACTGACTCCATCATATAGCAGCTTCATTATTATCAGCTAGGACTCATTCAACAGCTAAATCACCTAGCTACAGATACTCTATCATTGATAGAGGTCTTTTAGGTACTGAATTTTCTCTTCTTGAACACAAGAATGGCAGGGTAACTCTTCATTGAGAATTTCAGAGCCTTTTTCAACTTGATTTCTTCACAAAATGCTGAAATAGAAGTCTTAACAGTCTTAAAACTCAAGAGCAAGACATGTGGGTGTGGTCATAACCACACCTACTTTTTGACCACTCCCACTTTCAGCCACACCTTTGCCCTACTTGCAGTGAAATCCTGCAGCCGCCTATGATGTATGTGTATATATTCCTGCTATGAAGAAATACTCATTGACTGACCTCTTGGAATGACTTCTTTTCGTATCTCTCTTCTCCATATCCTGATCTCTTGAGTGCCTCCTCTGATGAGAGATGAAAGTAGAATATAACATCAGGACAGGGCAGACCTCTATCAGGACATTTACACCAATCAAGTGATGCACCTATCAAGACAATGATTTTGGACTTATTATTTTTGACTGTGTCTATCCCATAATAATACCAACCATCAAGAGTGCATGTATAAATGTACATACATGTAATACCTAAAGTGTACTTTAATGGAGTATAATAGAGTAAATGGCTCCAAATTTTTATTAAATTTTCTGATTCATATTGATGTCCTTATGCTACATAGCAAGTTTGAGCAGATTTTTGTAAGATTTGCAACAATTAGGAGAACTTAGGTTAACAATGAACTCAATTGATTAAATGAAAGAGAGAAAGAAAGAGAGACTAGAGAGTAGGAATCAGAATGTCTCAAAAGCACAACAACCTTACCTTTTATACCACACAAATAACTTGAATAAATATTCATAAACACATATTAATAAACTAAGTTAATAAACAGCTATTGATAATCACCTATTAATAATGCACATAATACAATAATAATACATCTTACATCTCCCCTCAGTCCTGGTTAACCGTGTTCAACCAGACTCCATATCGAACTGGTGGGCGAGTTGTACGTAAACTCCTACGAGGGGTAGATGGGTTCTCTGTACTATTCTATGAATCCTCACGATCAGGTTGAATAGGAGGTACTTCAGAGGCATCCTCTAAT